CCAGTTGGGGTTAAGTAACTTGTTGCCAGCTGAAAGATAATCACCCATGCAGTAATTATCCAATAGGAGGCTCGTGTATATATATATATATATATATATATATATATATATATATATATATATATATATATATATATATATATATATATATATATATATATATATATATATTTAAACACCTTTAAGTGACACTGTACAACAGAAATGAAAAATACAACATATAAAATGAAACGGTTTATATAAATACAGAAAATGTACACAGTAGGCTTGATGGGAAATAAAATACTTTATGAGCTGGTAAAAAAAATTAAAAATAGTTTAAACATCACTTAGATAATAGAATTGCTTGCATTTTCAAACTTTCGACAAGTTTAGTAGATTATACTGAGACTGGAAATAGGAGGCAAAACAGGCATCAAGCTGGTCCACTGATCTGTCTCTACTCAAGCACACCTGATTCAAATGATTGCTTTACCTCCTCGGAAGCCATCAAATGATGCAAAAGCCTGTTAATCACCTTTCCATTCAGGTCAGGTGTGTGGAGACAGGGAAACACCTAAATGATAGAGGACAAAACAATGATGTAATTCTCCCCCTTTGGAACAAACAGTTCCTCTCTAAACCAGAGGGTGGCAGCAGTGCTACTCTCAAGTGGAATGTCTAAATTAATCCGACACTTTAATTCATATGTTATCCATAAACGGACAAGACATATATTGCAATTAATTATTAATATCAATATACTATCTTTAAAGATAACAAATACTGAAATATTGCTCCTTTTTTATGTTTATAATTTGCTTCATGAGAGAAGAATGGATGTGATGTTAAATTATGTCACGTTTAATTATGTTTTTCTGCAGCCATCTTGTCTACATGGAAATAGCCCATTTACTGTGTATTTTATGCAAAAACATAAATAATTAATTTAGACAACATATATCTATTAATATTTGTGTAGAGTTCTCAGGAAGGGCTTCATGAAAACCCTGGACGTCTTTAGTCATTTCTTTGGATAACAAAATGCTGTTTACTATTTGTGCTGTATGTTAAAATGAATGAATTTGAATTCAGCACCTGCTTCCTCCAAAGGCCAGATTGTGCCATAGCTCAACATCGTGGCCTGTTTGGATTGGAAGACTCCTCATTTTGTGGGTGACAAATGCAGCTCCTGCCTTTTGCCCATTTGCAAGGAGAGGTCCATTGTATCCTGCGTAGCCTTCCATATCCCATGATTCATTATGAGTCCAAACAAGCCTGCAGCTCCGAACTCAGAGGTAAAAGGTAAATGGTGTCGAACAGTGGTAAATATTGTAAGTGCAGTTTAATATAATACAATTATGCAAATAGTTTCATCTTAAATGAATAAAAATAGTCCATTTTAAATGGTTATTTAGTCTGATATGTGGCAGGTAATGTTTGGTTTATTGAAAGGTGCATACGAGTCAAAGACATAAACCACATCACCATGGACTCTTAACAAGTTAGATCATCCTCAGTAACTTATGTTAGATTGAAACTAAACATTCTTTTTTGTCTTTTTTTAAGATGTTTTATAAAAAGGGCAGATCTTTATTTGATCATAAATTTTTAGCTCGACATCCAAGTTCATAGAATCTATAATTTAGATGAAATTGTTAAATTATACCTTCCAAACACCAGGCGTCATTTAGACCTTGGTTTTTAGGCTAAATCTGGTCGGTCCGTCATAGTCTTCAGTTTGAACAGAAACATTCATTAATACTTGGGCTGTTTGGTCTATGTAATTAAGTTGCACTTTAGTTCAAAAAGAGACATTGAAAAGTTGTTGAAAACATGTTTAATATCTGAAAATTTCGGCTTTTCACCTTTTACTTTACAACAAAATGTAGATGTTTTAATGTAAATCATTATGTCTTTTAAATGCATTTTCAAACAATAGTTGCTCAGAGGGCTGTCCATGTGCAAATAGGCTTGGCTGATATTAAAGGAAAGATTTGAATATCTCTGCAGTGTGAGGACTATAAATCTGATATCCCCAATGACAGTACAACTGCTGAAACTCATCAAAAATGTAATTAGCATACAGAACAGTATTGAGAAGTTCGGTATCCATTCTTTGACTGCTGTTCCAACTGTCATGGTTGCTAGGTGACAGAGTGTACACCTAGTGAGGGGTGATAACAGCTGTAGAAGGTTGTTCTGTTTGATCCATAGCCAAACTTTTCCAGTCTGCTTTTTTCACACACCTTGAAGCACCCAGTCCAGGTAGACCCAGGGTGTGTTCGATTTCAGAGGATGCATCCTTGAAGGACCTGGTCTATCTGGACTGAGTCCTTCGATGTCCATGAAAAAAAAAAAGCCCGGAAGAGTTTTGACAATGGATTTAAACAAGTCCAGCCTTCTCAGACTTCCATTACCCATACACTCTGTTGCCTAGCAACTGTGAGAGTTGACACACAAAGCAGGCAAAGAATGGATACCAAACTTCTCACTACTGTTCTGAGGGCTAATAACATTTTCAAGGAGCTTCAGCAGCAGTTACGTTATCGCCAATATCAGATTAATCTATGGTCTCCACAATGCAGAGATATTGGAATCTGTGCTTAAATGTCAGCCAAACCCATTTACACAGGGACAGACAAAACATTTCAATAAACCAAACATTACCCGCCATAACCATTTAAAATGGAATATATTAAACTGCAGTTAAATGTTCACCAGTTTGGCACATTTTCCATTCTTCTTCTTAGCTTGGGTGATTGTAGTTAAGATCAGGTTCTTGCAAATGGCGTTATCGAACTGATGATTCATTTAAAAGTGTTCTAAACTGACCTCTGGATTCATGGTGTGAATGAATGTGGTGGCACAGGCTTTGAGTGAGTTTGTGTATTTTTTCCACCTTGGTTTCCTTGGATTCCTTTGTCCTGAGGTTAGTGTATTAAAGCAAACTAAGAGTTTCGTAAGTCCTTCAAATCTTATGCAACCACATGCCAGGGGTGACCATTTTCTGAGATATAAAACCCATTGTCTTTAGATTTGTAGTCCACCCCTCCTCTTTGTCATAGGATTGGAGCAGCCATTTTACGAGTTTCATAACCTACGGTACGCCCACATTTGTGGTCTAACCCTCCCCTTTTGGTCACGTAACAAGAGCCACCATCTTGTGAGACTCACAACCTCCAGTGTTTTTTCAGCGTTGTTGCTCCACATCCTTTGACCGCATGGTATGGGTTTGCCATTTTGTTTATGACTCATTGAACATTAACCATGTAGGCTGAATTACTTCCTACTGTTTTTAACTGCACCTATTATTGCTGATTATGGCTGCTGCTATTTTTGAAAGAACATCATAATTTTATTATTTGTATTGACATTTGGCCTACCTTGGACACTCCCCAGAAACTGATTACATGGAGTCTTAGACCCCTTTATCCCCTCTTCCCAAATTATTTCTGTAATCTACCTCATGTTTATCTTCTAGTAGTGTGTAGTGTTTACATAAATGTTAAATTTCCTATATTCCTGATTGTTAGATCAGGATTATAGGATTGTTAGAAATAAAGACATCATTATTTTAACCTGCAGTAGTTTGTGTTTTTTGTACAGCGATTGGTTATCACTCTGGCCAGACTGACCCCCCTTTTGGTGACATTTAAATAAATAGAGACACTTTTTTTTGGTTGATAATTAATAACTATGCTGATAGCCTAGCCTAAGTCACTAACTTGGTTGGGATAACTGGATTTTAACAGCCGGGGAAAAGGCCACTCGCAATGCGAGAGGCCAAAAATCCTGGTGAGTAAGCAGATTACAGTTATAATTATCAACTAAGAACATTCAATTGGTTTTACCATTGTTTTTTAATGATCAGTCAATTAACTACGACTCCCAGTTCTAGTCAATCGTATATTCGTAATCTACAGGTAAAATATCACAACATCACATTGTAGCAACATGTGTGGAAGAAACAGTGCCTCCTACAGAAACAATAAAAAATGCTCATAGAATTGGTTGCCTGAGTAGAAATGTGAAAATAAAATTTCTTTGCATCTCCGAGACATTTTGTGTATTTTATGCATTACATATGAATAAAATCTTAAAAAATGCAAAATATAAAAATGAAATAGAAAAAATGTTTTATTTGAAAAAAGAAACCACTGTGTTTCAATGATAAAGCATATAGATGATAAAGATTTACAGATTCAGGACTGTAGAACAACTGAAGAATAAAAACATTGTAAACATTTAACAGCAAATGACATAAGAAGTTTCAGGGAAAAAAGATCCTCATATGTGAACATAGCATCCATTAGTTTAAAACTTGAAACAAAAATCTTATATATTGTTTTTCATCTGAGATTTGTATTGACAAAATCTAAATAGCAACATTTGCATGGATACTCCCTTTTATTATTTTTATGTACATTTGTCTTCAGCAAGAAGAAAAGAAAAAATAACAAACAAACACATTTCTTGTTGAATTGATTCACTGTTTAACTAATTAAATGGTCCTCTCCATGTTGCCTCCATAACTTGTTTGAAAGGTAGAGGTTCAGGGTTTTTTTGCCTCTTTTTTTTCTCATTCCCTGTTATTGAGTCATGTCATTGAGTCAATATTCATTCTGGCATTGATTATTGGAGCATAATAAGAGATTAAATGAACCAGTGACTCAAGATACAATCAAAATAAAGGGACATATTTTTTTATAAAGCATAATAAAAGAAGAAAATATTTAAAGCCTTAAAAAATGTTTTCCCATAAAGAACGTTAGCAAAAGTATTAACACATTTAAACACATCTTTTTTTTTTTTTATCAAAACACTGCAAAAAGCAATTCTACTACAAAAATAGGACAATTACAGCTGAAAAACAGCTATATATTTTCCTGTGTATCTCAAAATACTCATTAAGTATATTTGGGTGTAATTATCTTTAGGTGTTGGCTATTTATGTGCAGCTCTTAAACACATAAACAAGAGAACAACTTAGCCAACTTGTTTTTTCTTCCTATATGGGCTTTCCATTACTAACCTAATATACCCTTTAGCTCCTCCTAAAGGCTTCAGGTGTTCATGTTACAACAAGTATTCCAGGGTGGTGTTTAGAACAAACAAAAATAAGCAATCAAAAAGTAAATTACCGTACATCTGAATGCTGACTTTCCTATCATTTTTACAGGTTGTTTCTGTAATAAGTTCTATACAGATCAAATCTATTGCCAGATGAATCTCATGTGAGCTAAAATCTCAATCTTTTACACTGCTTTCAATGTTCAGCATATTTCAACATAGAAAATAATACATTTTTCACAGGGTTCCCTTAACTTTTGAAGTTTTACTCTTGTTTTACATTCTTTACACCCAAGCTCGAAATGGCACTCTTATCCAAAACAGCTTTTGTGGCTTTCTGAAATGCATCCCCTACAGTTTTTGCTTTTGCAGCTGCAGTGTATCCCATCAAACCTCCCTGTAGAACTCCACTTAGAGCGGCTTTAGGAACTGATTGCATGCCGTGGGCATCTGAGGATGGCAGTGGAACATCAGAAAGACCCAGAGTACCAGCGAGGGCTTTAACATGTTTGGCCATACCAAGGAAGGCCCCTAACACCGCACCTGTTGCAGTAGCCACTAGCCTTATCATTAATTCATTAAGCACAGTACTCTTAGCCCTGTCTCTCGTTGCCTTTGGTGATTGATTGGTTGACTGTCTAATTTTTTCCTCCTCTATCTCTATGTGCTTTTTGACTGCTTTCAGCATCTCATTAGTGTAGTACATTCCACCATTTGCCTCACTAATCTTGTCTATTGTTCTCAGTATCTCTGCCACTTGAATCTGATTGTTTCTGTAATTGTCTCCTGTGTTACGCTTCCAGTATTTATTGTCAACAACATGGCACCTGCCTCCACAGTTTTTCACCAGAGTGCTTAGTTCTTCATTGCGCTGGACAAAGTCCTCAATTCTCCATCCGTCTGGGAGCTGGTCTCCAAAGGTGAAGACTACAGCAGCAAATTTCAGAGCATCTTTGGAGAACTGTTCACATATTTCTTTTATTACATCTTTCTCCTGCTGTGTGAATTTCTCAACTTTAAGAACAATGAGAAAACCATGAGGTCCAGGAGCACACTCAGTGATGCATCTCACTATCTCTTCCTTAAGTAGGACTTCAGAGCCACATGTGTCAAAAACACTGTGAGCGTCAATCAGAGTGAGGTTCCTGCCATCAACAGACCTGGTTTCTCCACAAGAAAGACTTGTTTCAGAAGTGGGCGAATGGCTTATCTTGAAGATCTCCTCTCCAAATATGGTATTAGCCAAGCTGCTTTTGCCAGATCCAGTTTTTCCCAATAGGACAATCCTCTTCGAGTCAGAAACTACTGTAGAGGACAAGAATCGAAAAGGTGGAGAACATTACATTGTTTTTAACTCATGGGGTCCCTTTCAAGAAGCAGGTTAAATAAACTCAGATTCAGATCCTCAACACTAAATTAATCTAGCCTAAGGTCAGACATTCTGAGTTTTTAGTTTCACAACGACCACTATGAATTAGTTCAATCAACTTTAAGTAGGTCCACTAAGGGTTGAACACGTGCGTAAATAGTATGAAAAGCCATAATCAGTGGAGCCCAGATTCGATCAGTCACCATAAAGACAAGCAACAGGAAGTGTATATTTCACCCCACTGGAACTAGAGATTTAAATGAAAGAAAAAAAAAAATGGTGAATGTGTTTTAAAGACAGAGAAGCAGCGCTACAGCTGTAAAGGAGAGGAAGATGGCAAAGGAGAAGATTGCTGCTCAGGTGAATCTAAGTTTATATCAGGGGTTTATAGCAGGCCGTATTAGCATTTATCAAAAGCACTTTCTTCTCTGTTGTCCCATTTGTGGATCACTAAAATAATCACACTCATAGTCTGAACTGTAATAATACATTTAATAAATGACATTTTTGCACCTGCAATTGATTTTAAGAATTTCTTTTATATACTTAGAATTATAAGTGGCCATTTTTTTACATTTATCAGCTTGACTGAATATATATTAATAATATCTGAAAAGCATTTCTTCATAGTCAAAATAACAAATAATGCTGATTGTTAACAATAGGGATATGGAGATCTGGAATTAATTTCTAGTCATCCAGAATGTTTATTCTTCATGTTAAACATGTAATTTTGTTTGAAATGGTCATTTTGACGAGGAAAAAAGTTTTTATTTCAGATAGCAGGTATACCTATGCAGTCAAACTAATATATATCAAACCAGCTTGCCATAGGTGTTGTGAACACAATAACATTACAAATTTCTTTCTTGAGTGGTAGTGGATGAATCTATCTATTTAGGTAAAATCATCTTGCAGCAGGTGAAGATGAAGTCTAACAATGTTGTTTTAGTTCCTCCTCATGTTAATTCTATCTTCTATTACATACTAAATACCAAGTGGCTGTTTGCAGCTGCTTAGGATGTTATAAACCTAATAAATGGTCATTGTTAGTAGTTATTAACTCCATTAAATGAGCAAATAAATTTATATACATACAAAAACCCTATAAACCCATCTACTACAAGATATTTCAGGGCACAAATCTACAACTGAGCCCATGTTTGCCAGTTTTTAAATGCAATTCTGTTTTAATTTCTCACAAACACACAAAAGACTGAATTACTATTCACAGTCCTTATCCATGAACAAATTGACCTGATTAAGTTTGTGAACGGTTAGAAACATTATCGACTTAACAACTTTTTCTTTTATGTCAAAAAAACAAAAGACTGACAAAACAATATATTGAAATGTTTCATGGTATAGGACTATATTCCCGTAAATGTAATTGGACAGTTTTAGATGTATGTAGCATCAACCAAGAAAGACAACGAATAACCAGAAAAACAGATCTGTTTTTAATTAAATAAAATGTCCCCTGATTTTACCCAGACATATAATATTTACAGTATATTTACAACTGACCGTCCATGTTTGAAAAGGGATCAAAATCCAGTCGAAGAGTTCTCAGCTGTTCTTAGTCTTGCCTGTGCCGTATGTTGACTGGTTGTTGTCCTGTCACTTGTCATACTCCTGTTTTAATGAATTCCGGTTTGGCTGGTTGGGTAAGCTGTTTGGAACAAAACAATGTCACACAGTATGCGTGCAAGATGGAGTGCAGACCTAAAATATTATTTTTGTTTAACCACCATAAAACAGCACCTTTAAACAAAAAAAAAAAAAAGTTTCAGATTTGTTAAAATTAAAAGATGATTGTTTTCGGATTCATTGCCATGTATTTTTATTATCTTTAAAATATTGTTTAAGATTAATGCAATACATGTAGCATTGAGTTTCATCACACTTAGATATTTCCATTCTAATAAAAAAATAATGCAGCTGTAAGGTTTCTCAACTTTGATTATAAGACTCCATTGATTAGCAAACCGTGATAGATTCTAATTTGGAGGCGGAAGCTAAAACTAATTGTTACATATATTATTGAGATATTGAGTGTTTTTGACTTTCAATCCATAGAAATCTGTTTCCTTTGCTTAATGAAGTTTTCTTTCTAATTGCATTTTCTCTGCATCTGCCAGTAGTGAACACTAATCTGCAGGTTTCACCACAGATACGCCAAAACACCTGTCATCTAAATTACATTTAAATCCAGAGTTATATGCCTGAAACACAATAAAGGTTCTAAAAGGGATGAAAAACTTAATTATGTGTAGCTGAATTGGGTCCTACTCTGTCACGGAGCATCTTACTTTTTATAGAATGGGTGAGGACATACTTTATAAAGAGCCTCCATGTTTGATGTTGGAGGGGCTTAACCAGTTCAGCCGGTTCAGTCTGTCTTCTTGGCAATAATTGTATAAGGTTTTTGGCTGCAGTTTTGCAATCAATATCAGGATATACAGTTGGTAGTAAATAAATCTATGGTGGCTTTTGGGTGATTTCTTATCTCCTTTACAAACTTCCTAAGTTGTCTGAACATCTATGCACTGTTTTAACCCACCAATTATTTTATTAATTGTCATAGTTTAAATGCCATTTTGTACACCACTGGCTTCTCAAACTCAAAAATCCTATTTGTTTAGAGCTGCATTTCACAATTAACTTTTGGGTTGTTTTTTTTGTTTTTGAAACTATTAATTTCCATTGTTCAGTTTTTCTAACCTGGATTAAGTTTTCCTTTCTCATGTTTTCATCATTAAAATACTTTTGTTTTGCCTTGTTATTAAACTATGTGACTTAACCTTACCAGTAAAATCTGCTGCACCTGTATGATTGGATAACAACACCACCTTTTAATAAGTTTTAAGGGTGGTGCCAGTCTTCATGGTTTGTGAAAAGAATTATGAAATGAGAGGAGTGTATAATCTTCTCAAAGAGGTAACTGTACAAAGTGAGCCACAAAACAATAAGCCCAATGTTGTTGTTGAAAATCGTCCTGCGTGAGAACAGGAGGACAAAGGGACATCTCTTCATACCTAAGTAGGGTGGATTTTTTTTTCTATGTAGGCCATAAATTAAAGGATCACGTTGTCAAGAGAGACGGCAAGCTTCAAAGAAATAAATATGAAGCTCTGCAGATATGCAAACAAACAAAATCATGTACATATTCAATTACCGTAATAGGTTGAAGGGTAGGGGAACATTTTTTAAGAGGGTCCTCTGAGAATGCCCATTTGCTCCCCTTACAGGTGTTTTTTTTTGTTTTCGTCTATTTTCTATGTGTTGTACTCTAAGCCAAATATCTAAAGATAATTTAAATATGGTCTCAAAATGACAATAACGAATTTTGATTCTTTATAAGACAATTATGTTCAAGGTGTAATCAAATTCCAACCCACAGGAACGCAACCGATAATGATGATACTTTTTGAGTTGCTCAGAAACCTCCTGTAGCCAACAGGGTGGCAGATCTTCAAAAATTAGAAGGATATCCGAAACAAAAAGGACTCAAAGTTAGTCTGAGAAAATTCAGTTGAACATTTAACAGTTAAGTTTTAATCTGTCAGAACTCTTATCATAACACCTAACCAAAAATATCAATATGTGGAATTTTCATATGTATAAATAAATTAATAAACATCTTTATTAATTGATGTTATAGAGAAACAGAGAGACAGATAAACATTTCTCTAAAGTTAGTAAACAGGTTGCTGTTGGTGTAAGCTCTAAAATTAACAATCATATAGATTTTGATGCTCTGGTTCTTACGGATCTAAGAATTTTTGTGAATAGTAATTTGCAGATACCTTTTACTTGGAAATTTAGTTTTCTGCATTATTTCAGCCTCAGATTATCAAATAAGTGAAGCTTTAGAAACATGTATCCAAACTTCCTCACATAGGGGTATGAAAATAGACAGTAAATGCAGGAAAAGAAAGACTAACCATGATGAATAAAGGTTTATATGATATTATATAAAGTTAATTATGGACTGTAGAAGGGTGCCTATGTAGGTTAAACAACGTTGATAAATATTTATTGAAGTATTATCATCGCTTGTAGGAATGGGTGTTTCTATGTCTTGTATAAACATAAAATGTTGTATCTTTCACCCATGTATCAGTTTACAGGATTTAAAAAAAAAAGTATTTCATAAAATACAGCTAACTGTAAAAAGGTCAGTTTCCTGCTGTGAAAGTATTGTCTATAGACATACAGTGAATTTACTCAGTAATACCCACAATGGGCTTTAAATACTAAACCTTTCAAAACTAGTAGAGGGAAAACACTAATTTTGTAAAACCTGTTTATCCAACCAAGTATAACAAGTTTTGTGTCAATATTTATTTTAGCGATAAAATCAATAAAATCAGAATTTGCCTCTTTCCTTTTTATCTTTTGATAAAATCTTTAAAAACGCTGATTTTTAGAGGTCAGGTGTGATGTTAACATAACTAGTATAATAAATTAATAATAATTTCATCAAAAATATTTTGGGTTTTTCAGATTCATTTTAGAAAAATAAATCTGCATATAAGCTTAAGTTGATAAAAAGACACAACAATGTCAACACTGTCTTTTATTCAGCTATAATATAAAAAAAAATTACATGCAAATAAAACAGACACACCAAAGGTGTTAAACAGCTGTATAATATGAAATTGGTATGTAAAATGTTTTACCTTGAATTCCAAAAAATTTGTAAGGAACACTAACAGCAAAGAAAACATCCCCTCTCTTTGACAAAAAGTTAAAGAAACTGTAAGACAGAAAGGTGTTTCTATTAATCTTTCTCTTTTTTGTCTACTTCACCCAATAATATAAATAAAATGTATTATCTGCTAAAGACCTAAAATATTATTTTTGTTTAACCACCATAAAACAGCACCTTTAAACAAACAAAAAAAAAAAGTTTCAGATTTGTTAAAATTAAAAGATGATTGTTTTCGGATTCATTGCCATGTATTTTTATTATCTTTAAAATATTGTTTAAGGTTAATGCAATACATGTAGCATTGAGTTTTATCACTCTTAGATATTTTCATTCTAATAAAAAAATAATGCAGCTGTAAGGTTTCTCAACTTTTTACGTTTGACTATAAGACTCCATTGATCAGCAAACCGTGATAGATTCTAATTTGGAGGCGGAAGCTAAAACTAATTGTTACATATATTATTGAGATATTGAGTGTTTTTGACTTTCAATCCATAGAAATCTGTTTCCTTTGCTTAATGAAGTTTACATGCAAATAAAACAGACACACCAAAGGTGTTAAACAGCTGTATAATATGAAATTGGTATGTAAAATGTTTTACCTTGAATTCCAAAAAATTTGTAAGGAACACTAACAGCAAAGAAAACATCCCCTCTCTTTGACAAAAAGTTAAAGAAACTGTAAGACAGAAAGGTGTTTCCATTAATCTTTCTCTTTTTTGTCTACTTCACCCAATAATATAAATAAAATGTATTATCTGCTCTTCAATTAACATATACATGGAACCAAAATATACATTTTACAAACACAGTCCGACTGCTTCAAGCCAGATGGACAACAGAGATGAAGCAAATGCATTTGATTGTTCCTTAGTGTTTTATTCAAATGGACTAAAGGGGTTATATGTCCATTCAAACAGAGCTGTGAGTCTATTACAGATTTCCTCAAATGCATTTGGGACTGCCTCTTCCATTACCTGCACTATGCCACTGGCTGGTAAGGAAAGGCTTACGGCTGCCTCAGTTATATCTTCAACTGCTTTACTAAGTGGTGTTGCTAACTCTGCCACATCAAGAGCTGGACTTATCATATCAGGACAGGAAAGAGGTCCTTTTGTTAATCTCTCTCCAAAAAGCGGTAAAGTAATTATTATTGGGAGGGCTAAAGTAAACAAACCTTCCATCTGAAACTGGAAAGTGCCAAACATTTGCCTATGTAAAAGGATCCTTATTGCCTGTTGTCTGATTTCATCATCTGACAGGTTTTCTGGTGATCTTTTGATAAGCTGTGTCTCCTCTTGTATTTTTCTCTCCGTCTCATTGAGGTCTGCATTGGTATAATACCCTCCACTGTTTTCAATCAGCATTTTGTCAATGGTGTTTAGCAACTCTTGCACCTGGAATTTATTACTTCGGTAATCTTCATCATCGTTCCAGTATCTGTTATCAAAAACATGGCAACGGCCTCCACACCTCTGTACCAGTTCCCTCAGTCCGACACTCTGATTTACATACTCTTCTATATTCATCTCTTCAGGGAGCTGGTCACCATGGGTGAAGATCACTACTGCATAGTTCAGAGCATCATCTGAGAAATATTCACATATTTTTTTCACAACAGCTTTTTCCTTCTCTGTGTACTTCTCCACTTTCAGAACAATCAGAAAGACATGAGGCCCAGGAGCGCACTCCAGCATGCATCTCTTCCACCCAAGCTTCACGGCTGTCTGAGGCCTGCCCGAGTAAAACAAACCAGGAGTATCAATCAAAGTGAGGTTCTTTCCATTAACGAGTTGGGTTTTTGCCCCAGACTCAAGCATCTCTGTCTCATTTAAGTCTTCAAGTTTGAAGACGTTTTTTCCAAAGATGGTGTTAGCCAGGCTGCTCTTGCCATTTCCAGTTTTCCCCACCAAGACAATCCTCAATGCTGTCGTCCCTGGATGAGAAACATAACATTTATTGGGTGTGTTTGCAAACCTCTTGTTATTATTACATATTAAGCTTGCCTTTGTCAGTTTTGGTGCACCAAAATAGTTATGGTATTATCAAAGCATATCAGGAACTTGCTAAAATTGACAATAAAAATGCATTTGTATACTGTGATAATTTTCTTATAATCTTCTTTGCAATTTACATTTCTGTGCATCTTTTCTAATACTGTATGCACATTACTTAAATGTTCTCACAAGTATGCTTTATAAATACGAGTGTAGTGCCTTGCCTACAACTACTGACTTTAGCTAGGTAGGTCGATTCTAGGAAAGCGGTGTTCTGGGCAGGGGCGTTGCTAGGCACAAAGCTTTACTGGGGCACTGGCCCCCTACCGCATATGCCCCTCCTTCCATACACAACTACAGACAAGCACACTGCCCCACCCTGATAAATTCCTACCAAAATTACCAGTTGAGATATTAATAAGTGTAAGAGCATATTTGTTTTAACAAACATAAACAATTTCAACATTGCAGCTATAAAAAATAAGACATCACCAACTTTAAAAATAAAAAGTTTCCTTATACACATTCTGAAGTAATCATTAATTCCTAGGTTTCAGAGTTTTAGTTCAGGGGAAATTTTAACTCATCCTGAACTAAGTTTTTCTTTTATTTTATGAGCATTAAAGTGTACCTCCTATTTTTAATTTTTGCAAAGCGGTCAATCACTTGACTGTGACTCAGCGTAGAAAGTTCTTCCTTTTCAACTGATAAAATAGCAAGATGATGGAGCCTGTCTTGTCCCATTGTGCACCTCAGCCAAGTGTGGAGCTTTCTCAACACACTGAATGACCTTTCACAACTACAGCTGTAGACTGGGATTGTGAGGGAGATCTGGATGACCTGCGTTAGTGTGGGGAACATGATGTTATCAAGCAAGTTGAAAACACACTGCATATCCTTGATGACAAGGCTTTTTTTTTCAACCATAAAAAGCTTTCAAACCATTTTGAATTAAATTAACGATTTTTTTTAACTCCAAATTTGTCCTGGGGATAGTGGGACAACTTCACTTGTTTAGGACCATCATGCTTTCCCCCTAAGTCACTAATGTCCCCTTCTTGTTTGTGGACGCTGGTTGTTGCTCCCTCATCACCTTCATGGTCCTGTCTCTCCTGTCCTTCACCTGTCTCTTGCCTGTCAGTCTCGCCTCCTCCTCCATTTCCTACTCCAGCACCTTCATTCTCATTCTCTACAGCAAACATTAAAAAACGCAAATTTATAATTATGTAAATATCAATCATATTGCTTATAACGTTCCTAATGTAACTGCTTAGCTTAAATCACTAATTCATCACGGGACCTTCCCTCCCTCTCTCTCATCTTGTTTTACTGCTTCCCTGTCTCTGCTTCGTCTGAGGAATTTCCTGATATCCATCTACAAACCAATGCAATAATTTTCAGCTTGTAGCCTATAAATCATGTGGTTTCACTGGGAAAATAATAAAATTGACAGGTAAGAAACGTTACCAGAACTAAAAATGCGTCGCGGCCGAACAGTGTCCCATCCAACTCCGTTGAGAGCAGCGCGTTAATTTACCTGCAGTTCATGCAGTGACATGCGCTGACGTGGGGGCGCTAATACATCCTCAATTTGGAGTTACCAACACACTTGCTGCGCATTTGAGTAGAAATATACGTCTCCTCCCGTTGGAATTATCTAAATTGATGCATTAAAAAAATGTATCACTGTTGCAAATATTCATGAGATTTATACTGGGGCACAGCTCATTTATACTGGGGCACGTGCCCCAGTAAATGGGGTCTGGCGACGCCGATGGTTCTGGGTATATCCATCAGTTGACATTCTGTTTAAATGCACTCTGGTTTTAAAAATAAGCCTCAACTTAATCATTTTTTTTTGTTTGGGTTCAAACAACTCTCCACATTTTTAAGATAAAATAGTTTAACTTACATTAATATTTGATAAAAATTGTAATGTCATATGCATACAAAAATGTAATTTAATTTAAGTAAAATTATTCAGTGTTAAGAAAAACATTCCCTTAATAACTCAATTGTTTTTGTGTTTTTTGTTCACAGGCTGCTGCTACCAACTCTTACAATCTACCATAAAATAAATTTTGTAATATATATACTTTGTCTAAAGCAAATCAAAGTGTTCACGAACTATAGTTTTAATCATCCTTGTACTCTGGGGTATAATTACTATAAGATGTCACATAGGCCTATTTTTTTTTTTATTCTAATCCACGGGGAAAAGCAACAGAATGTGCATCCAAGGACACTGAAGTCACATAATATCCATAAAACCCTTAGAATTATGTGCAATATACACAAATAAGTTGGTGTATAGATACCAGGACATATATATACATGGATGGTATTTTGGTAGGCAGTAGGTGTGGCATAAAACAAAGGATAAATATGCCTCTATGAGCCTCATCGTCATTGTTTACAGATATTATAGAAAATAAATAATAAAGATTTATTTCGATTTATTTTTCAACCCTTTGCGAGCACACAGATTAATTAATATAATGTTGTATGATGTATTTTTAAAGTAGCATCCATCCATCCATCCATCCATCCATCCATCCATCCATCCATCCATCCATCCATCCATCCATCCATCCATCCATCCATCCATCCATCCATCAATCCATCCATAATAGTGCTAGTTATTGAAGTGCTCATGACTTTATGTGAGGCATAGTTCTAATTCTCCAAAAATGTAGAGAAATTAATAGCGTTTTTTTTAAATATTTTAAATATGAAATTAAGCTACAGTGTCATTTCAATTTATAACTGTATTGTATTATATACTCTTAGCAGAGATAAAATACATCATAATTAAATAAATGTTTATTAAAAAAACAAAAAATAAAGAAAACCTAAATAATAAATACGAAACTTAAGTATGTTTTCACTAAAATTCAATCTTTACTCTTGGACCATTGATATATATTCAAATGTTTAACAGATATATCTTAGGGTCTCTTTAAATTAGAAAAATTAGACAATAAAAAAATGCATTATTATTATTATTATTATTAAATGAAAGGTGAATTTATTTATTTATTTATAGCCTAAACAATGAACTTGCCACTGAAAGTTATGTTAAAGTAGTTTTCAAAAATATCAATCATATATGCTGTTAGTAAGTTCACCTCCATTTTACCTGAGCAAGCAGAAAAGTTTCAACCTACCTTCCATGTTGTCTCAAAAAGAATCATGGGTAGAAGAATCGTCTTCACTGCAAACCTTTCCTCTTGCTCTGCTTTGCCTCCTGCTTTGTTCTTTTTCTACCTGTCGGACTCGTTTCTCAGGAGCAGTTGAATGAGATGATTAAGGTAGGGTGTGGAACTTCGTTTCACTGGTGTAATCTATATTCCAGTCAACCATTTCTAAACCAACTGCATAAAAAAACAACTGACCGTTTAATCTGTATACACTAATTTTTTAAACCTATTTTGCATATAAAACCTTTCTTGTAATTGTATTTTTTTATAATTTTTTTTTGTTTTGAAGCTCTATTTCAGGAGATAACCTCAAAGTTTTTAATCTTAAAGGTCTCTTTATCATCACTTTTGATTTTAAGCTTTTTTTATGTTACCCTTTAGGTTCAAGCTATGATTGGGTTTGGCTGCATATGTTAAATAAAAAAAAAAAAACGAGGATAAAAAAGAATGTTTGTTGAATTTAAGCATTACTTTATAATAAATTCTGCCATTACTACGACTAATTTGGAGTTTTACTTGGTGTTTATATTATATTATATTGTGTATATATTGCCCACTCCAGTACGGGTGGTTAATATGTTATCATATCAGATATTATTTGGTCTGTTAAATATTATTTTTGAACATTTTTATGTTCTCAAACCAATTCACAATGGAACTCAAAGAGGACAATGATACATTGTTTGGCAAATATGGCTTTCACCTTTAGTTAATTGATTCCTAGCCTTCTGTGATTGGCCTTTTAACAGGAACCCTATGCTGACTCTCAAGAGATAACGTGACCGCTTTTCCTGGACCACAACTTTGGCCTTTTCTTGGATCTTATCTGGTAAAAGATCTGGAGATTCTTCCTTTAAGTGCTCCTGCTTTAAATCTGTGTCTAGTTTCTTCATGTTCTCATGGATATAGTACCCATAAGCATTTTCCAAAATAATGTTGTCTATTGTGTTTAAAAGTTCTGTTACATGGAACTCGTTGCTCCTGTAATCATTTTTAGAGTTCTTCCAGTATTTATTATCAATGACGTTGCAGCGGTTGCCACACTTTTTGATAAAATTATCTAAATATTTACTTTCACATACAAACTCCTCAATCTTTCTGCCGTCAGGTAGCTGGTCCCCATGTGTAAAAAGCATCTTTTATCTCTTTCGCGTCCCTCCCTGTGTCAAAAAATCCAGGGGTGTTGATGAGTTTTATGCTCATTCCATTGACTTCTCTCAACTCTGCTTGACACTGCTTTGTTCCAGAGTTAGCTGAAGAATCAGTTTCAGATAAGTTTTTATTTTTATTTTTTTTTTAATCATCTTGTTAAGATGTTAAGGATTTTATGGATCCTTTATTTAGTCTATTATACATTTATTTGTATTACTTGCTATAGAAAGCTGTCTTTGAGAAATAAGAGCTTTATACTCAATCACAGAAGACATAATTCTCATCATCATCATGTTTCTGTTGGACTGCCTTCTGCCTGCCTCTATTCAGTGGTTACAGACTGGGTGGGAACAATGGCTCTCGTTCGACCTCTAATTATGTAATCATTTATTGAGAGTTGTTCAACAACTCAAGTCAGGACAAGACGAGTATTTTGTACTTTTACTGAACTTGAGTCTGAATCAGTTGCCAGGGACATGACTCAGGCCAGTTCCTCTGCATTTAAAACAATCCAGTCTCATGTACGACATAAACAGTTCCTAAAGAAACAGGTGGAAGCTTCCATATATATTTACCTTGGATCTTATGGATCCTGAGGAATTAGATACATGTTGGTGTCTTTTGTCGTGGGAAAAAAGTATTCAACTATTCATCCTAGTTAAATAAACGGAGATCGATGGATTTCACTCAGTCAGCACATTTATTCATATCTTTGCAAAGAAAGAACAGTCATCATGAAGCTCTTATGGCACAGCATTCTGCTGTGTTCTGATCTGGACAGCGTTCGTTCCCCCTTTTTTACAACAATGGAAAGTAGTCAGTCATAACAAATTACACACACTTTGGTTAACAGTAACATGTTATGAATAAACCTTGAGAAAGAATCTAGTTTGTTATGGGAAGAAGCTATGTCTGGTCTACAAAAACCATCCTGCAGAGAATTATGTGGTCTTCAAGGTGAAACAGACTGAGTGAAAACTTTTATAATGAGTAAATAGGATAAATTAATATATAATAGAAGAGAGATAAAAATTTTCCGACAGCACTTTCACAACAACCAAGCTAATACAAATTAAAACTTCTAAAAAGCTTTAATTGCTGCTTGTATTTAATAGTAACTACTTGCTATGATTATGGGCCAATGAGCTTTCTTAGATGTAAACAAAAGTATTGTTTTTTTAATTTCATCAGCTTTTTAAATTGATAATTTTAAATGGCGTTTAAACTCACAGTGGGGCTGATGTCTCTTTCTTTGATTCTATGGGCGAAATGCAGGTACAACTTGGACCTGTTGCCAGTCCTATGTATAATCCATCCATTAATCATATTAAGGTTGTGTCTCATCCCTAACTATTTGAATATCAACAGAGTATTTAATGTTCTAAAATTGTGTGGTTGATTAGATGATCAGTTTGAAATGTCTGTAATGAACAATTAAAAAACACTTTAATATTTTTTTAACAAAATGTTGCCAATTTTGTACTGTTCTATATTATTTTCTATTGTACGCTTTTATTACCATTAAGCACTTTGTGACTCTGACTGTGAAAGGCGCTATGGCAATTATGCTTACTTTCTTATATAGTAATGTACGTAGTGAAAAAAAGCACAAAAAAATGTTGTTGTTTTTTTTATTTCAAACTGCATACAGGTTAAAATCAGAACAAAACATGAAACTCAAAAATCCATCAACAAATCATCAGTAATTTATGCTGCAACTTAAAAATTATTCTTGCAACTTTAAAAAGATTATCGTTGTTATTTTACACTATCAAAATCAGACTTGATTTTCCACCAACTACAGCAGGTAGGAAAAACCCACCATGAAAAACAGTAAATTTAAACAGTAATTTTATTTTATTTTTTTACATTTACCCAAGAAGACTAGCTGATCTGTTTATACTTTGACTTGATTCTCTTGGCATTCCAGTCTTAAATGAAATCATTGTAGAAGGAAAAAAAAAACATACAAACATAAACATTAAAAAATATATACAAAAATATATATATATATATATATATATATATATATATATATATATATATATATATATATATATATATATATATATATATATATATATATATATATATATATATATAAGACAGTAAGCATATCTACATAACAACAGTTTACTTCTTCAACATGGCATCATTACAAATGTAAAAAGGGGGTAATTACACTAGTTTGTATTAAGCTATTTCTAAGTCAAAAATATGTGCAACACCTTCTGACAGAGATCAGTAATAACAAAGAGTTTTATTGAGACAAATAGAAGAGAAGAACTAATAATGGTGAGATCAAGGGTAGGTCACTTCCATGTAAACATATTGTACATCATCAGGAGGGCAAACGATTGGTGTGGGATGTACAGAATATAAAGTCTGCGTGCATCCATTTAAAGACAGGGTAGGAATGGAGTGTGGAGGGAATACTGGAGCAAACAAAGTAAATCTGTATAATTAGGAAAACATTATTTATCAATCGTCATAATGGCAAACTAAAATAACCACATCTTAGTAGGTGGAATCTATAAATGTTAAACATCAATTTATACTAGATGGTGGTATGAACTTGTAAGCTCTTTCCGCCGTAAGAAGAAAAAACATGATCTACTTGGAGAACAGAGGAGAAAATCTAATTTTGTTAAAGAAGATTTGTTCAATAAAAAGGGGTCAGCACTCCAAGTATAAACTCTATAAAACCCCATTAATATAGTTGATATCTTGTTAATGTGTTCTGAGTGTCTTTACCTTGTTGCTATCCATTCTTCCATTAATTTCTTCTGAATTTAGTCATAGTACTATGTGGCAGGGCCTTCCATTTATTAAACAATGTATTTAACAGACACCAGGGTCAGTTAAAACTGTTACACTTAAATACTAAAAAATGTGTTATCATAAGATGTTTTAGGTATGCAATGTCCTGCTCGCCTCTATACCACAACAAATCTTGTTAATAGAAATCAGGCAACAAAGATTTTAGCTGTAACCAAGTGCCTTTTGGCAACACACAGTTTGCTAACAAATTATGAGATCATGTGTGTATATACAGATATTTACCCCCCAGAGGCAATTATAGCATTGGATGCTGTTGTCACTTTCTTTATTTTAGTGCTGCTTCTCCTGCTGCAACTTCTGAAGCTGCAGTTGCTCCCTCTACTGCAGCTGTTGTCCAGCAGAGGAACTTTGCTAAAGTTGCTCTTTGTGCTGCAGTTATAAATAAATTTGTCAACACAACTCCCAGAGCATGTAACAGTTCTTCTCTAATCAAATGACTGTTGTTGCTTAGGAAGGTTTTTAACAGGAACCCTATGCTGACTCTCAAGAGATAATGTGACCGATTTTCCTGGACTACAACTTTGGCCTTTTCTTGGATATTATCTGGTAAAAGATCTGGAGATTCTTGCTCTATGTGCTCCTGCTCTTGCGTTAAATCTCTGCCTAGTTCCTCAAGGTACTCATTGGTAGAGTGCCCACCAGCATTTTCCAAAACAATGTTGTCTATTGTGTTTAAAAGTTCTTTTACATGGAACTCATTGCTCCTGTAACCATTTTTAGAGTTCTTCCAGTATTTATTATCAATGACGTTGCAGCGGTTGCCACATTTTTTGATAAAATTATCTAAGTATTTACTGTCACATACAAACTCCTCAATTGTTCTGCCTTCAGGTAGCTGGTCCCCATGTGTAAAAAGCACTGTGGTGAACTTAAAAGCTTCATCTGAGAAATATTCAGTCATCTTTTCTATGATCTCTTCCTCCTGCTGTGTGTGTGTATCCAATGTAAGCACAATCACAAAAACATGAGGCCCAGGAGCACTCTCAATCAGACACTTCAAGATTTCATCTTTTATCTCTTTCTCGTCCCTCCCTGTGTCAAAAAATCCAGGGGTGTCGATGAGTTTTATGCTCTTTCCATTGACTTCTCTCACCACTGCTTGACACTGCTTTGTTCCAGAGTTAGCTGAAGAATCTGTTTCGTATAATTTCTCTCCAAATATAGTGTTGGCGAGGCTGCTCTTCCCAGCTCCAGTTTTTCCCAACACCACAATTCTTCTGGTGAACGCTGCACAAGAGAAATTAACAATTGTGTAAGTTGTTTTTGAAAACAGGTAGGTTGAGTATATGACAAAAGTATTTATGGAATTTTGTTTGTATTTTCTTCATACCAATGGCACATTTCACACTACAATGGTGGTGCATCTGTTATTTTACCTTTGTTTATAATATAAAAAGTAATGACAAGCTCATCTATGTCTTAACTGATCAGAAAGAAAAATACCAAAGTTTATATCATGGACAGCTGGTGAGCTACCTACAGAGGAGTCTATGCAAGCAGGAGTAACAAATGGAAAGTAGATGAAAACCATTGAAAACATTTCAAAATGTTGTTTATTAATCATTAGCCTCTTAAAACCTTTAGAGGGGGTAATAATTCAGAATGTATAAAATTCCACTGGTAAAATATTTATCAGCAGGTGAAGCCATTGCGCGCAGCTCGAAGATGACACCAAAAGTTCCAAACCCCACAGCTCTGGAACTGTTATAGCTAGAGGTCTGAAATTGTCTGCATTTGTGGTTGACATGATGCAGAACAAATATAATACAATAAAACCTGCCTTTTTTTTCAATAATATATTTATTACTGCTGTTCAAAACAGACCTATCATTTCCGAGAATAAAAAAACAACAACTTTGAGTCTTGTTTGAACTGAAGCAGGTTGGTCTGCGTTCTAGTCAGCCAATTTTAAATTTTATTTTAGGAAACTAGAGGATGTTAGCTTTCAAATAATGTATTGCACATGTAATTTGGGCTTACAGTTCCTAAGATATTTGCTTTTCCATTTTGTATGCAAAATAGGCGAGGATTACCCAAAATGAGATGGATGTTAAGAGGTTAATCCTTTATTTATATAGTGAAACTTTCTAGACCAAGAGTTTAATTTAGAAATCAAGTCTGTTATATACATTAATGGTGACATAAAATCTGGTCTAAGTAGTGTTTGACTCCAAAGATGCTCATGCTGGATTGAATGCAGATGTCTGCTGGACATTTCTGATCAAAGCTCTATTTTACAAAAACTACTTTAAGGGAAAAGTGTGTTGGTCAGAAATATTTTTTTCACAAGAAACTGTTTCATTGCAACAGCATTATTTATATGGTCAGATGACAGCTGTCAGTGTCTCAATGCTCTGAGCGACCAACTGAGGGGACTGAAACCCTATGCGCCACACTGAGAGGTATGCGGCAGGTATGTGCCACCTTGCTTTTCAGTGTTTTTAGAAAATCACAATCCAGATGAGTTTGTCCTCCTGATCCAATGATCCCATGGTAGAGAGGAAATATAGAGAAATATAGAGGTTTCACACTGAAACTCAAAGCCTATTGGTTACTGTAGCTTTCCCCTCCTTTGTAAACAGTACCTGTTTATCTGAGGCTCATATTAGAATAATATTTTGATTTTATATTCAGAATAAATGTTACCTGCATAATAGCTTCCTGCGATCAAGGTAGCGAGAAGTAAAATTACAATTTAATATTCAGAATATCTCCAGGTTATATAAAGATTGACATGCAATGATGAAAAAACTGTTAATCCTTGTCAGGAAACCTGAGAGGATGATGTAATACATGAGCATTTATGATAAGAGGATAACCTGTCAGCTTGAAGAGCTACACATAGCAGGACTTTCAGGAAAACAGAGACTTGTTTTTTTTGTTTTTTCTCCTATTAGATGTAGCTAACATTTGAAATAAGATGAAGGGAATAAATCAATCTTCTTTGGTTGTTCTATGACTCTTCAAATTCAGTTGATCAATTACCCACCCCATCTTCACTGAGATACAGTTTAACAAATAAAAGGAAGAGTATGCTCAAAGTTTTACAAGTTACTTAACAGTTTTTTGCTTCCAATTTATTAGAATAGTACAATTTAACCATTTGTAATTTAACCAAGTGTTTTATCACAAGTTACTGTTATTGCTGTTTGCTCCGATTTGTTGCATCCAGCAAGATATTTACTGGTTTCCTTTTCTCATTCTCTGCAGCTATTTTTTCTTATTTATCCTTGGTTTGTAGTTACCAGACATTCAACAAAAGACCTTTTTTTGTCTCCCTTCAGCAACATGTATGTACAAATACAAAATCAAACTTAATTAAGAATAAGAACACTAGGAAAACTAATGTACTGGCTTCAGCAAAAGGTTGCCACTGTACAACTAGATAAAATAAATATTACTTGGTTGTACAGTTCTTTATAAGAAATTATTATTTTTTTAAACAAATTAAAAATAATAACAATCCAATGACAAAAGCAACAATTTCATTAGGTCTAATTACACAAAACAAATAATGCAAAGGACTGAAATCAACTTACCGTTTGAAATGAATTTAGAAGATCTCCTTTTTGACTGGGCTGATCCCATTTTGTCCTGGAAATGTGTTCTTTATATGAAGTGTTTTACTGTATGTTGGACAGCGCAGTAGAACTAGGGTAACTGAGAGTGAAAATAGAACAATATTTGCCCAGCTTTTTGATGCATATTTTAATAAAAGTGTTTATGCTATTGCCTACAGCTCTTTTAAATCACCATTACTTCACATAAATACTGAAATTATAAATAAAGCCCAGTTAGAGAAGTAAACAGCTGAGGCTGGTTTAACTTGATGTTCTTGTGTCACTGTTGCTACCACAAAAAACACATCTGTCATTTGTTTTGACTGAACTATATAGACTCAAACATACATTTACCCAACTCATGAAGAGAAAAATAAACCATAGGTTACATCTACAGTATAAAAATGCAATGCCTTGAAACTGTTTTCAGTATTAAGATCTTTCTTTGACTTACAGTTGCTAGATGTCACAATAAGATAATTGAAGAGCCAGATGGATCCAAATTTTTAAGGTGAAGGGGATCAGCAGAGTGGTGTAGCGCTCAGGGCTACTTGAACAATCAATTCACCAGAGTCGGCCATCAAAGTTCGTTCCACCTTTTCTCCACCTCTTTGTTTTGCAAATAAGCAGCAGTGTGGTTTTGTGTTTGTTTCACTCTTCCCTCCTTTATCATTGATGTCATACTTGCACTGACAGTATAAGATGCTGTTTTTTTTAAAAATCCCTTTATCATTAACTTCCAATGATGCATTTAATCTATTAAGTTTTTTTTTGTAATGTTATATTTTTATCTCTTCAATTATTCGGCTAACTTAATGTGTTATTTATTTTTAGTCTGTGAATCTTTATCTTTTTCATTTTGTATAAGCATATTTTACATAATTATGTGTCACTGTATTTAATTCTTTATGTATTAAAATATAAAATACATAGAAATATTCACAAAGCTAGTTATTGTAGATTTATTTAACCAAACAGCTTTCAAGGAAAAACTGATTGCTTAATACTTTTCTTGAATTAGTTTGATTAAAAACAGTATGACAAAAATTGTTCTTAGTAGACATTAGGTCATGTTTCCACTGGTATTTTGACCATTTATATCTGGCAAAGACCTTCTTACTTATAGAAATGGCCGCAGTCTCTGCTAGGCATTAATGCCTGGCCCATATCTGCCTGTGCCTTAAACAGGTGTACACTTTGATTCAATCCAGTCTCTAGCTCTATTTGATTCTCTATGGACAGGACTATTGATCCAACCAATAACTTGATTCTTATGTAGTGTTGTTCTAATGCTGTTAATTAAACTTATGCTCTAGATGCAGGTGTTTTCTACCAGAATAATTCTTCATCCTGTGTTACGCCATCTTTCCATCGACTATTACCACCTTCCATGTGCTTGCTAAAGGAGAGCATGCCCACCAAATGCTTCCACTACTACAACCATGTTTTACTAAGGTAATTGTAAAGTTACTGTCCCAAATGCAGTTTGCATGTAGTTCAAATACACCTTTGATATCATGTAACCTGGAAAAACCTTGCATGCGTTTCATACCCAACATGACTTTTTCCCCCTAGTTTTAGGAATTTTGAGGGGGTTTGCATGGGAAATAGCAGTCCAGGTTACATATTTCCCAAACACCAAAGTCAATCTCTGCAGCTCCTTCAGAGTTACCAAGGAACTGTACGGGCTGGTTTTCTTAATAGTCTTCTCCTTGTCCAGCCGGTTTATCATAGCTGCCCTTTGCAAATGTGGACTCTACTGTTTAGGTGACCTCTAGCATTAGGTTGCTCCTGGTTTATTCCTGCTTTTAGAGTAAAAGCTCAAAATTATATATTTTTTCTTCTCTTTAAAAGGAACTGTTATTTTTTCTAATAAAAACAGAGTCCTAATGAAACGTACTGAAGTTTGTGGTTGTTTTATTCGAACCAAAAAAAAAAAGAACATTAACAATAGACTGTGGAAAGGACTCCACCCAATCATGTACTTTATGAGTGGTATGTATTTTCTTTGTGTGAAGTAGAACAACTTGTTCAACATTTAAAATGTATTTATTTATAGCATCATGGTTACTTTACTTTATGGGAAGAAATTATTTAAACAATGAATAGCAACCTGAATGGATTTCAGGTGTGCCCAAACACAAAACTGCAAGATGTTTTCAATGCTTTGTGACTTTGCAAGTGAAATGTAGTCCCTTTGATAAAATAGGTGAAGATTTAATCTGTTAACTGGACACAGCAGAATAACCGAAAATAATTTTTAAAAGCCTGAAAAGCATAACTTAAATCAGCTGCTGTTCTTCAACCTTGACAGGTTATAAGCTGCAATATTATATCATCGTAATAGTGGACAGTAGCCTTATTGTGGCAGTATGGGCCTGCAACTTTGGAGGCACCATAAACATCCCACGGAAGGGATGGGACAGTTAACCATTTAATTCCAATATGATAAGGAGCAGGTAATGTGAAAGTAATGCGCAAAGGTTTAGGCATAAGAACTGATGTTTTACATTGCGTATTTTCTTGATGAAATTATCAATTTATAATTAAAAAATGACATGCCTAAACAACACAATGCCAACACATTGCCATTTCAATTCAATTCATTCAACACATATCATCTCAAGGCACTTTACAGAGACAGTTCAACCAAATTAAAGATTCAGATTGGTTTAAAGTTTTCTTTCTAAGGAAAACCAGTTGATTGAATTGACGCATTGACTTAACAGCAATCCCTTACATAAGCATGCTTGTAGTGACAGTTGAGAGAAAAACTCCCTTTCAAAAAGAAGGAACCTCCAGCAGTACCAGGCTGAATGTGAGCTGCCATCTGTCGAGCATCAGCATCACCCCAGGATAGGATATTTCCAATTTTTGTAACATTCCAGAGACAAAAGCTTGAAATTCTATAAATCTCTTTAATATGGGATTTAACTCTTCAAAAAGTTAATTATGGTGCAAGTGGTCACACAATTGTTTGCCATCTACTTTCTCAACTCTTTTAGATAAGAAAGTAAGATTGGATATAGGAATATAAATGACCAAGGCATCTGGGTCAAGAGATGGTTTCTTAAATAAAGGTTTAATTACTGCTACCTGAGGTACATATACCTGTAACAGGGATAGATTAATCACATCTAAAATGGAGATGGAAATAATAGGGAATACTTCCCTAAATAACATGGTTGGAACTGGATCTAACATGCTTCAAGTAATTCACACTTCTGTGAAATCAGAATGTCAATCTAGGAGGGAACAGTGATTGTGAATTAATTTGACCTGCTGTTTTGCAAATGGAGCAGTCAAGAGTTTAAAAAGGGAGGGAGGTAAGAGGATAGTAATGAACCTAGTTAGCAATGATCTGCTGGGTGAATTTGTGTGAGCACATTCTAAGGACCCTGCTTTTAAGGTCTTGGAGCCATATTATAAGCAGGAAAACATGTTGATGAAGAGTTTTGGGTAAGTAAATGAAAAAGCTACAAGAGAGTTTGAAATAAATACTTTAGTGGAGTCTTACTGTTGCCCTTTCAAATATCACAGTACTGATGTTTATAGAACCCAATGTTGATTTGAAGTCACTGGAAAAGAAGCAATGTAGCTTCTATGTATATTAGGAAGTATTACCCTGAATATTCAATAGATGAATATAATATATAGATAACTAGTGTTATGAACTAAATTCACAGCTGGATATGTACCGAATATAATACACAGGTGGATATTACTATAAAAAGGGTTTTTACAATACAATAGCATATATACAGATGGGTTTTACTATAAAATGAATAAATAAAGTTTAGACAGAAGCTTTCTAAATTAAAGTGCAGTGGAAGGTAATTGCATATTACAGTTAAAGTATGTTATTGCAAATGTATATGTAAACAATTGGTACTGTGAATAAACAGTCGGCAGTACAAATATAAACAGTCGGCAGTGCAAATCAATATTCAGTCAAGGTGAGTAGTGCAAGATGCATGTAAACATTTGTTACAATAGTAACAGTCAGGAGTGCAGGTGAACATTACAGTGTTGCAAAAAAAAAACAGAATAGCAAAATGGTGGGTGTGAGGAAGGAGAGTAGAGTCTATCCGTGAAGGTTAGAGTTCAGTAAAGAGACAGCTCTTGGGAAAAAGCTGTACTTTAGTCTGCTGGTTCTTTAGTCTAATACTACACTTCACAAAAAAATAAAGGGACCATGTAAACAACACAATATACCTTCAATTTAATCAAATGTCTGTGAAATCAAACTGTGCATCGAGGAAGCAACACTGATTGACAATCAATTTCACATGTTGTGCAAAATAGAATAGACAACAGGTGGAAAATATGGCCAAGACACACTCAATAAAAGAGTGGTTCTGTAGGTGGGCAGTATTGTGCCTGAACGCGTTCATTGAACGAAAGTTCATGAACTCGTTCATATTTTGCGGCGAACGTGAACTGAACGTACTGTATTACTGCCTGATTAACGTTATTGTGAACTCATTCATTCTGGTGTCTGTGAACGGCACGCTCTCTCAGTTCAACTTTGTTCAATAGGTTGCCAAATTTCTATAGAGTCCTCCAGGCGAAACTGCGGCTAAATCACATCATAAACAAGCCTTAATACAGTATGTAGCGGGAAAAACACCCAATCTGGCAACACCAGCTACCAGTGTCGTAGCCTACAGCCGCGTGCGTCATCAAAACAAAATGCAGCGTGGAAGCCACAGCAGCATGGAAGCGACAGTGGAGGTGACAAAACAGCAGTATGATCACTTAAAACAGTTTTATGACCGGGTGGTCAACAGTGTCAACAGTTCCTGCAAGAGGAAGGCATTGAAGTCATCAACTGGAACACCCATTCCCCAGACCTCAATCTGAATTAGCACATCTCGGAAATCATGTCTCGATCCATCCACCAATGTCACGACGCACCCCAGACTGTCCAGGAGTTGGCTGATGCTTTAGTCCAGGTCTAGGAGGAGACCCGTCAGGAGACCATGCGCCACCTCATCAGGAGCATGCCTAGACATTGTAGGTACGCAATACAGGCACTTGGAGGCCACAAATAATACTGATGCTCATTTTGACCCATTTTAAGGACATTAAATCAAAGCTGGATCAGCCTGTAGTGTGTTTTTCTACTTTAATTTTATGTGTGACTCCAAATCCAGGGACCCTTGGTTATTAAATTTGATTTAATTGATGATTCTTATGTAATTTTGTTGTCAGCACATTCAACTTTGTACAGAACAAACTATTAAATGAGGAAATTTTATTCATTTAGATCTAGGATCTGTTATTTGAGTGTTCCTTTATTTGTTTGAGCAGCATAGTTGCTTCAGATTGAAGTAGGGATGTAAAAGTAAAAAAAAAATAAGTTTCTAATTGTAGACTAGAGGTGATTTTCAAACTGTCTCAAATAATAAAGAGATCAAAAATATTGAAATATGTGGGTTTTCTGCCCATATTGGAATAGAGCGTAACAATTTGGCTAATAAGTATGCAGAGCAGGGTGCAAGTAAAATAAACAAGAATTCTCTGACATTTAATGTTGTTGCACAGAAAACTTAAGAGCTCATAACAATTATTTGGAAAACATGCATCTGGAGAATGTAAGCATCGTGGGTAGTAGTACATGAAAAAGCTAAGCATCATGTGGCCTAGGACTGTCATGCATCAAACAATGTGCCAGTAGCTTTCGAAATGATGAAGGCAATGATTTCTATTTATTCGCTTCATTGCTGATAGCCCGAAACTATTGAAGATGCCGACCGCCATATTGGTACTCCCCACTCCCACAGAGAGATGGCCTAAAAATGCCGACTGCTCCATCTACCCAGACAGTTCAGTGGGGTTAGCATTACTGCTGTTTATGTGTATCCCAGCGCTAATGCAGCAGAGACCATGAAGACTCTATACCAAGTTTTCTTTGTGCTCCAGTTTGCATACGCAGAGGGTGTTTTCATCATTGCTGGGGATTTTAACCAGGCTAACTTGAAGTCTGTCATGATTGTTATCTAAGTTCTGATGCCAAGATGCAGAAAGCCAAACAGAGAGACACAGAGTAAAAGTTTAACAGGTTTATTAAGAGTAAAGGTGATGAATCCAGTGCTGCTCTGAGCACTAGGGAGTGAGTCCAGTGTTGCTCTGAACACTGCTCAACAGGGATTCTCCAGGGAAAGGTGTCCTTTATGGAATCCAGACTGAGAGGATTGTACCAGTGAGTGTCTTGCTTGGAGATAGGTGGACTGGGTTACTCAGACTTAGGTTGTTCCTTGGTGAATGGAGAAACTTACTGCCACTCAGATTTCCTGCAGTACTTGAACGGGCTGTAGTGCTGCAGAAACCTTTGCTTGGTGTGAAGCTCAAACAACCTCTAGGGGAAAGTGGATCCAAACTTCCTGTTCAGTTAGAAGCTCAGTACCTCTTGGGGAAAATGGGTTCAAACTTCCTGTTTGGAACCCCAGCTCAGTTAGAAGCTCAGTTGAACCTTCCTGAGAGAAAAGGACCAAACAAATCCAGTTTCCAAGATGACTTCCTGCTGAGAGGCAAAGACAAAAACAAAGTTAAGACTCAGATTGACAAAAACTCAGTTTGACTCAGAAAAAATTCAGCTTGACTAGAGAATCCAAAACTGGCAAACCAAAACTCAGGTTAGACTCTGCTAAACTAAGCATGGCTAGAGTACCCTGTATTGGCAAACACTCTGGCGTCGAGGTAGTGGCAGTCAGCAGCTTAAGAACACTCCACAGGTAATGAGGCAATGAGCTGCAGGTGTGCAGGGAGACCCAATGAGGACGGGGCACCGCCTGGTGGAGGAGGAAGGGAAACACAAAAACATACCACACAAACTGGATTCCTGGCAAAGTCATGCTTATCCTTGCATATAAGCCCCAGTCGATCAGGGCTAAACAAGACAGTTAAAGAGGTCAGAGTGTGGTCTAAGGTATCTGTTTTGAATGCTCTGACTGGAACATTTTCATAGTGCCAGCATGCTTGAAGTCTGCCACCATTATTCCGGTCCCAAAGAAGCCTCGGGTCACCTCACTAAATGATTACCGGCCTGTCGCACTGATTACAATCATGATGAAGAGCTTCGAAAAGCTGGTTAAAGACCACTTCATCTCCAGTCTGCCGCCAACATTCGACCCGTTCCAGTTTGCCTACTGATGAAAGCGCACCACTGAGGACGTCTGCTGCTCTCCACCTGAGCATGGCACACCTGGAGGAAAAGAACACCGACGTGTGGATATGGTTCCTGGACTTCAGTTCAGCTTTCAACACCATCATCCCACAGCATCTGATGGGCAAACTGGAACAGCTGGGATTCAATACACCCCTCTGCAACTGGCTGCTAGACGTCCTCACCAACAGACCGCAGTTAGTCCGGGTCAGACAGAACACCTCTGACGTCACAATCTTAAACACAGGCTCCCCTGAGGGCTGCGTCCTGAGTCCCCTGCTGTTACCCCTGAGGACACTTGACTGAGTCCCCAGGTTTAACACCAATCACATTGTGAAGTTTGCAGACGACACTACGGTGGTGGTCCTCATCAGAGACGACAACGACCTGGACTACAGAGAGGAGGTCAAGCAGCAGGTGGGCTCGTGCAAAGACAACAGCCTGATCCTGAACGTGGAGACGACGAAGGAGAACATCTTGGACTTCAGGAAGAACCGGCCTAAACACGCTCCACTAGTCATCAACAGCTCAGCTGTAGAGGTGGTCAAAAGTACCCAATTCCTGGGGCTGCACATCACAGACACCTTCAACCAAATGCAAAGACCACCTTACTGGTCAAAAGGACACAGAAGCGCATGTACTTTTTGCGGAGGATGAAGAGAGCCCACCTGCCCACACCCATCCTCACCACCTTCTACAGAAGCACTATAGAGAGCGTTCTGACCAGCTGTCTCACTGTGTGGTGTGAAGGCTGCAGCGCCTCAGAATGGAAGGAGGTGAGAAGAGTGGTGAGAACAGGAGAGAAGATCATTGGGGCTCCTCTTCCCTCCATAAAAAACATTTCATCCAAGCACTGCATTTCCCCGAGCCTGTAACATTATAAATGACCCCTTACACCCCCAACATGGACTCTTCTCCCTGCTGCCCTCTGGGAAGAGACTTCGAAGCATTGGATGCAGGTCCAGCAGATTCCACAACAGTTTCTTCCCCACTGCCATTAGACTGCTGAATGTTGTGTAAAATGGTTTATAAAACAACTGAATGTTAGAACTGTAACTATACAGTCATATGATTAGATGTTTGAGAGACTACTGTTTTTTATCACAATGTTTTTTAACACTGCTGCTTACCTTACCAAGGCTGCACTTAAATTTCTCTATGTTTACACTTGTGTATACAAAATGACTAAATAAAATCTCTCTAAGTCTCCAAGTCTAAGTCTAATATATATATATATATATATATATATATATATATATATATATATATATATATATATATATATATATATATATATATATATATATATATATATATATATATATATATATATATATATATATAATCCAATTTTTTTTAAATAGTGATAACAATTAAATTAAATGGGCTCCCGTTGTTTATACCATATTCTGGACAGATGAGGCGCATTGGGTAGCCTCCAGCAGCTGGTATTAAGATCTGTGTCAATATTAACAAAGTTTCGTTATTTTTTTTTTATATTCAGAATGAATTACAACAATTAAAAGACATCTATAAATCTGGATCATTCTCATGAGCAGTCTGAAGCAGTCACATAAAAAATACATGTTTTGTGGCGTGACCAATAACCAAGCTGACAACAACTCATGTAAGTTCACTCTTGAGAATTTTGGATGAACTTTCAAAGTGGAAACCTATTAGCTTGTTCCCCAAAAACGTCAAGGATCTGTGAAATTTTACAAATTTTCTTCTTTGTAAATATAAAACTAATAATATGTAGCCCAAAGGCAAAAACCCGTTCAGTGTATGCCTGCCTTAAGATGACCTATAAAAGAGGTTCTGTGAGTTCTACATTTTTAAAAGTACCTTGCATATAAGTTTATATTCCAGACCTGCAATGTAAGCACATCGTTTATCTCTACTGCAAAAATTTACCAGAAAATGGAGCCTCTCCAGCAAGTTTTAACATGAGCTGGGTGGTGCTTTATAATGACTTGCAGAGACTGTTTGCTTATGTTTCCCTGGTGCATATAGGGAATTATTTATGGCAGCATTTATTGATTTTCGTCTTTTTCATTCATTCTTAAGCTATTTATGAAAATAAATTAAAGGAATTGAGTTTGTGACATTGTAGTCTTTGTCTTTGACATGTGAAATGGTGATTAAAGGAAAGTTACTGGAGGCTTGGTTTAACCAGGAACAAACTTAAAACACTGTCACATGCATAATGCAGCTCGGATCCCTGTTGTTTATTCATCACTTATGCTGAAAAGGTCAGAACCCAGTTTCACCAGTTTAGCAGGTTTGTTAAAGCAGTGTTTATTTATTTCTACTTCTTTTACTCCCTAAGGGTGTAAGCATATGAGTCAGTAAATACATTAAAACACAACAACAACCCCAAATCTATCTATCTATCTATCTATCTATCTATCTATCTATCTATCTATCTATCTATCTATCTATCTATCTATCTATCTATCTATCTATCTATCTATCTATCTATCTATCTATCTATCTATCTATCTATCTATCTATCTATCTATCTATCTATCTATCTATCTATCTATCTATCTATCTATCTATCTATCTATCTATCTATCTATCTATTGGGATTTTCAGATGTTTTAGGGATCTTTGATTATGTATCATTCTGTTATGTTCATTCTGAATGTTGTTCCCTCCCAGCTGCCCTTCATCCTGTTGATTGTTCTCACCTGGTACAGATCTTTGTTTCTCACAGCATTTAAGCTTCTGGTTTCGGTTTTCTCATTGGTGGATTACAGTATCTGTTCTTGTTCTCCATTGGGTCTCATTGTTTTCTGTTATTAGCTCCTCCTTTGTCATCAGTCCCTCTTAACTGTATTGCAATTTAAGTGCCTAGCAACCATGACAGTTAAGAACAGGCAACTTCTAACTTTAGTTTTCACTGTAATTAAACTGTGAATTTGTAGGCTATTTGCTCATCGAGCAGCGTGTCTTGTTAACATAGAACAGCAGATTATAATCAAACATTTTTGGTACTTTTGACATGATGTCTGTTTCTGACTTTAATTAAACTGATTTAGAAGCATAAAAAACACATGGTATAATTAGTTTATTTTTATTCTGTGATAAAAACAGATTCAAACATATATACAAGAATAATGACACACATTTTTAATAGTTTATTATGTACTTACAAATGGTTATAATAATTAAATGTATGTAAAAACAACAAATAATTGCATTCATGCAAAACAAAAAAAATCTCTTGAAAATCTCTTGAATTTTACATATTTTAATTACAAGTGTGTGACAATACATTGAAATCCTAGGGAAGTATGTAGCTTTTCTTTATTGTGAATGTTAGTCACATTTGGTGCATTTGGATAAAAAGAAACAAATTCTTCAGCACAGAACAAAACAGTATATAAAATGTTTGAACAATAGATCAACCTTACAGAAGATTTACTCTGAATATTTTTCAAATAATAATAAAAAGTTAGGTAAAGTCAATGTCTGGAAAGATTATTAACAATAAAACCACCTGAATATAGTTAAGAATCTCATTTAGAAATGGCTGAATAAGAATGCTAGAATATTTGTGAATTTGTTTTAGTTTTTACATTGCTTTGGAGTTTTTATTTTATTACATTGTCAATTCAGTGTATAGGTTTAAAAAAAACTTAAAATATTAGCTCTATATTCCTTCAACTCAAAGGATATTCTACTGACATGTCTGCTGCTGTGTAGCAACACTGTATTAATTGAATAAATTTACGTTTTAAACTGAAAGGGGAAAGAAGGGAAAGATTTTCATTGTGTATTTTTGTAGATATAAACTAAGTGATAAACTGAGACTGTTGTAACATTTATTATTGTTTGATATATTTTCATAGTTTTTTCATCCTATTATGAAATAGCTGAAGTGTGATATGTTGATCAAATCCCAGCTTGGATTCTTTCTGCATGGAGTTTTATGTTCTCCTATTCTTCCTCCTTCACTCCAAAACAGATAAGTGGATGAATTTAAACAGATTTTAAACAGGTGGCAAATGAATTTATCCTTTCTTGTTTGTAAAATCAGTAAGAATGTTAGAAAGGTTCTTGAAGACTTCACTCTTCACTCTTCATTCAAACGGACAGAAAGGACTGTATGTTTTTTCATACAATGCAAAATAGTTGGAAATTACCTCAAATGTGTTTGGTATTGCATCCTCAGTTGTTTGCTGTACAGTGTCCTTTAATAAATCGATGGTAAGAGGGGGTGCCTCTGCTGTGTTTATTGCCCTTCGGAAGATGATAAACATAGAGAATACTCCAACACCGAATGAAACCATTTTCCAAAGACGCTCTTCTTTTTTGGATGATTGCTTTTTTAGAACAATACTTTTTACCTGCTGTTTGATTTCCTCCTCTGACATGTTTTCTGATGAGAGCTTTAAAAGTTCAATCTCCTTTTGTATTTCTGTCTCTATCTCATTCAGTATTGTATTACTGAAGTGCCCTCCTTTGTTTTTGATTAATATCTTGTCAATAGTTTTGAACAGCTCTGCCAGCTGGAACTTGTTGCTTCTATATTCTTCCTCCTCGGTGTTCCTCCAGTATCTGTTATCAAAAACATGGCAGCGACCTCCACACTTCTGCACCAGTTCCCACAAGCCATCGCTTTGAGCAGCGTATTGCTGTATGTTCATCCCTTCAGGGAGCTGGTCACCATGAGTGAAGATCAAAGCAACGTATTTCAGAGCATCATCAGAGAAATGCCGACGTATTTTAGCGATGACATCCTTCTCTTGCTCTGTGTATTTTTCCACTTTTAGAATGATCAGAAAAATATGAGGCCCAGGGGCGCTCTCTATCATACATCTCATTAACTCAGACTTCACGGTCTTCTGAGGCCTGCCTGAGTCAAACAAACCAGGAGTATCAATCAAAGTAAAGTTTCTTCCATTGACAAATTTGGTTTTTGCTTCAGTGGTAAAGGATTTTGCATCATTAAACTCTTTTACTTTAAATATGGCTTCTCCGAAAATGGTGTTGGCCAGGCTGCTCTTCCCATTTTGACTTTCCCCCAGCAGGAGAATTCTTAATGTGGCTGGACCTAAATGGACATAACAACAGTAAATCATTACAATAATTCTGCCTATGAACTGGAAGACAAAAACACTGTTAATTAGGAACAACTATGGCTGAATCAGAGCCTTATCCAACCCTTCTATTTCAAAACAGTTTTCTTGTGTTTAAAGGATTAAATATTATTTTACACTTTTACAATTTCTATGCATACTCTTAGAATTGCCCAGCATGTTAAAATTGTTTTTCTATATCTACTGCAGTCTATAGGCCTTATTCAATTTACAAAAAAAACATCAAGGTACTACTCTCTGGGCATATTTGTCATTGTGACATCCTGTGTGCCCCCATTCACCTGGCTACTTTGTTTAGACCCGGCTGCACATTAGCAAGAAAACATCACTACTATATCTGAAGATGGATTGCAAAAGGACAGCTAAAAGTCCATCTCGAAACCCCATCCTTTACTCTACACGGGGGTAGGAAAATAACTTTTTACTAGTGTGAAGAAAAGGTGTAAATTAGAGTCCGATCAGGAGCTAAATATGACTAGAGTAAATCTTCTACAAAACAGATGCAAAGAGAAAAGGCTGCAAGTAGTAAAACTAATTAAAGTAAAGAAATTGTGCAAACTAGTGCCAGAACAGAAGTAATGCAGATAAATAGGGGTTTACCATGAATCTCATCTATTGAGATTTGTAATCTATGGTCTGGAATCATATGTGTTGAAGGTCGTCTTCCCCCAATGATCTGCAGCACTTCTATTTTCTGGTGCTAGCTAGATTTTAATAACTTGGAGTTATTGTTGCAACTTGCTACATTTCCTTTTATAGCATGCTCTTACAGGTTGTGTCTTTGAAGGGTATTTGCACTTTTCTGCTCTCTACTTTCTTTGCTTGTAGGACAGTGATGGGAGTAACACCGTTGAAAGTAACGGCGTTACTAACTCTGTTACCTTTTTTTACTAATGAGTAATCTAACTAATTACTTTGACTGTAACTATAACGCAGTTACCATTGCCGACACCCCGTTACTGCATGTTAAACAGGTTGCACAATTAACCTTTTTTTCATGATAGGACTGCTGCGCGCCTTGTCATGAGAGAGGGGAGGATGAGATTGGCTGATGTATAGTGAGATTACGTCTATCAGTTGGGTAGGTGGGTGTTAACAAACAGCACACACAGAGAGATGGAGAGTGAGGATGACTCCAGCAGCAAAACAGTGTTTTCCAGATGGAAATACCGGTGTTACATCGAGCTGCGTTTCCCCATCAGATACAGTTTCCCCTGCATCTCCGCACAGCGCAGGCGGCACGATTCACCACGCAAGCGACAGGAAACGCGCATGCTCGCTAAAGGCGCGCAACAGTCGCCCTGTGCTCGCGCCACAGAGGAACTACGGAGAGCGTGAACGATCAAATGTTAGGATGGATGGATAGATAAATAGATAGGTAGATGGATATATAGATAGCTGGCTTGCTGACTAGCTGGCTGGCTGTATGGATAGATGGATGGATGTTGCAGTATCTATAACAACCCAAACACACAGGATTTCAGAATTAGACATCCCCAGTTATTGATTTCATGCACACACCAGATCTGAACGCCCTGTTAAAAAACTTCACACACATGAGTAGAGGTAATGCAGCTGATGATTTTTACACTGCATCAGATACCGTTCCCCCAAAGTTAGGAAGAGGGAAAAACTATCTGACAGGGTTTATAGGCCCGTCAGATAGCGTTCCCCCCTGATGTCATTTAGGTTGAGTTGCAATAAATTCAAAACTCTCTGCAGGTTCTTGTTTTTGTCGTCCACTCTATTCAGCTGGCTTTTGAAACACATGGCGAGAAGGTGGGGGCCGGGTGGTGAGGGTTTCGGGGGCGAGAAACGCAAAAGTAATGCAACAGTTACTTTTACTAGTAACTAGTTACTTTTATTGTGGAGTAACTCAGTTAGTAACTCGGTTTCTTTTTGGGAGAAGTAATTAGTAACTGTAACTAATTACTTTTTCAAAGTAACATGCCCAACACTGCTGTAGGACTTCTCCCTTGCATCTGGGTTTGTGTTGAATTTTTGTGTCGGCTACTCTTATTTTTAGGATTGCTTCTCTCATTTTTTGTTAGAGTATACTATTTATCTATTTCCAGTTTCTTCCCTCAGCCACTATAGTTGTCAGACCTTTGCCATCATTTGAGTGCAATATCTGAAACTTTATTTTATTCCTGTCTAGAGACAACTGACTATTTTTCATGTCTGAATTATCTGATAATTCCAGACACACAGACATTGTCGGGTTAGTCAAAACCAAACCCACCAAAATAATGTCTTGTGAAATTGTAGACGGTTAACATCTGATAACTTTCCCCTTTGACTTATATTTCAGTTAAATTGCTAAGTGAGCAAAGCAAAAACACAAAGTTTACATCTGGATTGATTTTAATCTTTTACAATTCTGAAGAGTTATTTAATTTTCAAAAAGCTTACATTAATATTATAATTACAATCAATAATTTTTTTCCTTAAACATTAAGGTGTCAGAGGGTCAAACATGATCACTAGGCAAGTGATCTTGAGAAAAATATAACTTAAAACAAAAAAAAACAAAAAACAGATCTTTGGAAAGTACTATGTATAAATGCCTTGTTTAGCGTGTTGTTTAATCATATTTAAAAAGAATCAGATTACAGAAACAGTGTTTATGCAGTTGTTTATATTTCTTTTAATGGTATGACTGAAGGTTATTCTTTAATATTCAAGATATATAAAAAAAAGTATTTACCTTCCATTTTTCCTCAAATATAGAAGTCCAGAAACAACAAATGTCTCCTTCGATTGTATTTTCTCTCAGTCTCTAGCCCTAACCTGCCGTGCCTTGGCTGCGTTGTTCTTATCTAACCTGTCTGACTTGTTTGCTGATGGTGAACAAGTCGAACCTGTAATTAAATGGTGATTGTGTCATATGCAATTGAATGGTAAAGTTTTGTATAATATATATATATATATATATATATATATATATATATATATATATATATATATATATATATATATATAAATAAATATAAAAAGTAGGTTATATCAGTCTATATCTGGAAAAATCTAATCTTTAAAAATGCATGTAGGATGAACAATGGTGTCAAAAGTACACACATTTGTTACTTAAGTAGAAGTATAGATACTGCAGTTTAAAAACACTCTGGTAAAAGTTGAAGTATCAACTTGACCTCTTTTCTCAAGTAAAAGTGGAAAAGTATGTGCACCAAAAACTACTTAAAGTATAAAAGTATAAAGTAACCTTCAAGAAAAAGGCCAGATGCCACTATATTAATTGAAAGCACAATTTTTCCACTATTTCAAAAAATTATTTGAGATAGGGCCGAGGATGAGGGAGGTCTTGTTGGTCTCCGTCTCCATCTCCCGATATGCTCTCGCCTGTGTCCGACCTTTCAGACATTTAGAAAGGTTTTTCTGAATCCTACATTGTAGCATGGCATAGACAATTCTCGTTTACAGTTTGAAGAACACCTGCCTGCTTCTGATGATTTCCTTTAGCTAACCAATGAGTGTTTGCGTTATACGACTTATCCAATTACACTAGTTTTCACTAGATGTGAATGGCACCAATGATCTGCATTGGATGGAGCACATGACGGGAAATATATATTTAGAAACATTAAACCAGGGGTAACTAATAAAAAATCAGTGGGGTCCGAATAAAGAAAATCAACCAGTAAATGTCAGGAGACATTTTTAATGATCTGTTACTTTAAACAGAATTTAACACTGAAATAAAATGACGTATTTATGCATTCATGTTACACTGAATTAAAAAAAAAAGATGAAAAAATAAAAATAGAAATTGCCAAACATTGCATCCTGTTCTATATAAGAGGAGTTTACACTTGTATGACTGTATTCCTGTATATCCATCACTAGTTAAAGCTACAGTGTGTAATTTTCAGTGACATCTAGCGTCCAGACTGCAGACCGCAGCAACATGAACATCTCCCCCCCACCGCTTCTCCCCCCCAACAGTACGGCGAGCGTTACAGGACAAAATGTCTTCCACCACGTCCGCATCACCTACCTTCTCAAGTGATGAGGTTTGTTTACATAGATAATTTTACAGATAGTATTTCATTAGTCTGTGTAGGGTATAGATTTCATGTAGACTTAAGATAATAAATATACCCGTTATTTTTTCTACATCGTTGTGACGTTTGTCTCTGAAGTTTGTTGGCTCTGCGCTGCCGTAGCGCAAAGATGTCTGCCTCCATGGCTGCGAGACCTGCTCCTATGTAATTATAAATAACGATTTCTAAGGCTACGCAAATATTAAGGTTAAGAGGCTGAGCTCGTAGATGATGATAAATAACATAGTTATGTATAATATATTACATTTCTGACTGTATATTCCTGTAATTATTACACACTGTAGCTTAAAAAGACAAGATTCAGCAAATGCAAATTCTTCCCTGTAAAACAATGACAGCTTAATTGTCGCTGTACGATCCGAAGCCTCATTTGGAGCTTTTAAACAGGCTTTTGAAAAACTTTGATAATTTGCTGCTATAATATTATAGATTTTTTAGAATAAAAAGCTAGTAGATGTGCATGATCAAAAAATAATAGAAACACAATTATAGAGCATTCAGTATTGTAAGAAAGCCCACACTGTTTCTGAATAAATACATTATTGTATGAGTTACGTTCCGTTTTTGTCTCTTTCCTTGTAAGTCTGAAATGTCCCATGCTCCTGAATGCACCATAGCTGTCTGACGCTCACGAATGCATCACACTGGTCTGTGTAGATGCGCGTTTGATTCTGCAGTTTTAAAACCCACGTCGGCTAATCGCTGTTTATTGTTGTGTATGAATAGCAAGAGACTACAACAAATAAATCAGCCGTACCTCGGACAAAATCATTGGATTTAATGTTGTTCATAACATCGCAGTCCGCTAATCCCTGACCTGTGCTTTAAACTGAAGCCAAGAGTAAAGAGTAACGTTTGTTTTAAAAATGTAAGGAATAGAAAGTAAAGATACTTGTGTGAAAATGTAATGAGTAGAAGTCAGAAGTAGGAGGAAAAATAAGTAATGGAGTAAAGTATAGATACCTAAAAAGTGTACTCAAGTACAGTAACGAAATATTTGTACTTTGTTACTTGACACCTGTGAGGATGAAGAACAACATATGAGTAAATTAACTTTTTTATATAGTACCTGCAATAATTTAAAACTACTCTCACCACTATTCCAAGAATGAAAAACAATTTTAGGGTACTAATTGAATTACTAGGAACATTAATTCAACACTTTTAAAATGTCAATATTAATCGACTCTAGATTATGTTAAAATAACCTCCCTTAGTTTTAAAGTTTTAAACCATTAAAGCCATGAAAGAGGATTCTGTGGTGGAAGATACACTATATTGCCAAAAGTATTTGCTCACCTGCCTTGACTCACATATGAGCTTAAGTGACATCCCGTTCCTAATCCATAGGGTTCAATATGACGTCGGTCCACCCTTTGCAGCTAGAACAGCTTCAACTCTTCTGGGAAGGCTGTCCACAAGGTTTAGGAGTGTGTTTATGGGAATTTTTGACCATTCTTCCAGAAGCGCATTTGTGAGGTCGCACACTGATGTTGGACGAGAAGGCCTGGCTCTCAGTCTCCGCTCTAATTCATCCCAAAGGTGTTCTATCGGGTTGAGGTCAGGACTCTGTGCAGGCCAGTCAAGTTCATCCACACCAGACTCTGTCATCCATGTCTTTATGGACCTTGCTTTGTGCACTGGTGCACAGTCATGTTGGAAGAGGAAGGGGCCAGCTCCAAACTGTTCCCACAAAGTTGGGAGCATGGAATTGTCCAAAATGTCTTGGTATGCTGAAGCATTCAGAGTTCCTTTCACTGGAACTAAGGGGCCAAGCCCAGCTCCTGAAAAACAACCCCACACCATAATCCCCCCTCCACCAAACTTTACACTTGGCACAATGCAGTCAGACAAGTACCGTTCTCCTGGCAACCGCCAAACCCAGACCCGTCCATCAGATTGCCAGATGGAGAAGCGCGATTCGTCACTCCAGAGAACGCGTCTCCACTGCTCTAGAGTCCAGTGGCGGCGTGCTTTACACCACCGCATCCGACGCTTTGCATTGCACTTGGTGATGTATGGCTTGGATGCAGCTGCTCGACCATGGAAACCCATTCCATGAAGCTCTCTGCGCACTGTTCTTGAGCTAATCTGAAGGCCACATGAAGTTTGGAGGTCTGTAGTGATTGACTCTGCAGAAAGTTGGCGACCTCTTCGCACTATGCGCGTCAGCATCCGCTGACCCCGCTCCGTCAGTTTACGTGGCCTACCACTTCGTGGCTGAGTTGCTGTCGTTCCCAAACACTTCCATTTTCTTATAATACAGCTGACAGTTGACTGTGGAATATTTAGGAGCGAGGAAATTTCACGACTGGATTTGTTGCACAGGTGGCATCCTATCACAGTTCCACGCTGGAATTCACTGAGCTCCTGAGAGCGACCCATTCTTTCACAAATGTTTGTAAAAACAGTCTGCATGCCTAGGTGCTTGAATTTATACACCTGTGGCCATGGAAGTGATTGGAACACCTGATTCCAATAATTTGGATGGGTGAGCAAATACTTTTGGCAATATAGTGTATATCCGACGGCTGTTTTGTTTTTCAGATGAGAAAACGGATTAAAATTTGAACAAAAAGTGAACTTTTAAATATATTCTTAATGTTTTCATTTTTCTTATACATGGATACCCTAAAATTGAGAGTTTTGGTGGACAGATAAATGCTTGAGAAATACCTGCTTGCCATAACACCAGCGCTCCATTTTGTGTATTTACAGCAGTACGCCTGAAAATTACTCCAGTTAAACCCATATCAATATAGACATGTTATACATCCTAAGAAAACCTAGATTATCAACAATTTATCCACCAAGTTCATTTTATAGACATCATTAGCACTAAAGTGCAATTAATAGAAACATAGCAGTATGTTTAATCAGAATTTCTAAAATAAACCTCTGACTTCCTACCTTTGAAGCGATCCTGTGGCCTAACTTTAAATCTGATCTTAGATTGTTATATTCAATTTGTCTGTAAGCGTCTATGGATAAAAAGTAATCCATCCAATCATAACAAAAATATTCTACGATGAAAAATTGCGACATAAATTCAGTTTTTTACCATGAGGAAAGTTTGATGCTTATAGGTAATATCATGTTCTTTTTAAGGGATCTGACCCACATGCAGGAAACCACTCAGAGAACCAGAGAAAAAGTTTAACAGGTTTATTGAGAGCACGCTGCATTGGATCCAGAGGTACTCAGAACGGTGAACCGGAACTGGAAGTGAGAAGGGAAGTTCAGAGTTTAGTTCAGGTTCCGTAGGAAACTTGGACGACTTGCAAAAAGCAAAGACTAGAACAGGACTTACATTTCTAGAAAACATGTCCTTCCCAGAATCCAGTCGGTGTGGATTATTGACTCGTTGGAGGGCGGACAGGTTTTACTTAGGTTAGGTTGGTTCCCTGAGGAGCACTTTCATGGAGAACTTTAACGGCACGTGTGGAGATTTATCCCCTGCTCAGTGTAAAGCTCAAACAATCCTTTCACGGGGAGTTGATGCAAACATCCAGTTTGCATCCCCTGCTCAGTGTGAAGCTCAAACAATCCTTCCAGGGGGAGAAGGCCAAAACATCCAGTTTGCAGGATGACTTTCTGCCGAGAGGCAAAACAATGTTAGACTCAGAGAAACAAAAGACTCAGTTAGACTCAGCTAAACTCAGCTTAGCAAGAGTACCCAAAACTGGCAAACACTCTGGCGTCGCGGTAGTGGCAGTCAGCTGCTTAAGAGTCCTCAG